CCCTTGCCCAGGGGGCCCTGCCCGGCAGCACGCACCTGCGTAGGTGAGGGCAAGCAGGAGATGACGTCCAGGGATGGTCTGGGGTTCTGAAACATCGCTGGCCTCGGGGTGGACAGTGGCCACCGCATGACTAAGCCCTGGCAGTGGTAACCTGGCCATCCTGGGGAGAGGCAAGATGAGCGCCCCCGAGACGGCTGGCTCTAGGACCAGGCGTTTCTGTGCCTCGGTGCCTGTCGGTGAACAGGGAGCTCTGGGTCTAGGTCAGGGCTGCTGTGAGGGTGGGAGGAGCTGGCGAGGTGCCTGTCGGTGAACAGGGAGCTCTGGGTCTAGGTCAGGGCTGCTGTGAGGGTGGGAGGAGCTGGCGAGGTACCTGTGCCTGGTGGGCGGGGCTCGGTCACTGGCGGGTTGGGCTCGGTCACTGGCGGGCGGGGCTCGGTCACTGGCGGCGCCATGGTCTGCAGTGAGCTACAAAAGGCAGAAACCATAGGGCTTGTGCTTCCTGCGGCCTGTGCTCGCGCCCCCTCCAGTTCAGGATGGGGGCTTGCTGTCCTGGTGTCCCTAGCACAGCCACCCAGGCCTGGATGACTGTCCCATGAAGACAAGCAGGAAGGGGACTAGCAGTTAACATAATGGCTATGTCGCTGGACTCCCATGTAGTCGACCGCGGTTCGCATCCCGGACCTGGTGGCTTAAAATTCTTGTCGGGCGCGTGTGCGTGTGTGCCCAGGATCCCGAGAGGAGAATGGAGGAGAAGGGATTGCAGCGTGGCCATCTCCCCTGGGAGATGATTTCTCACTTTCTGTCTCTCTGTCTGTCTGGCGAGCGCACGCGCCCTATAGCAAAAACCTCTCAAAAAAAAAAAAAAAAGACAAGCAGGAAGCAGCCTGCAGTTGCTGGGCGGTGGAGAGGATCCGCGTATGAGGGCGATTTCTTCCCCCCGGGCATGTTTTAACAGTGGGTTTTGTTGAAGCTCCTCACTCGTGACCCCGAAGGGCAAGCCTTTGTGAGTTCTTTTTCTTTCTGGCATCGCTGTCTCTCCCGATGCAGCAGTATGCCTACACCAGCTCTCCCAGCCCTCTTGAGCTACCCACTCTAACCGCGGTGTGCCATGGAGCCAGGGAGCCGTGCGTGTTAGAAGTGTGCGGGGTGTGGGGGCAGCATGTGGCGTGGTGTTAGGGCTATGGATTCCCACATGGCTGATCTCAGTTAAAGCCCCGGACTCACTGGCTTGAAAAATCACACTGGGCAAATGTGTGTGCCAAAGTCACAGGAGAATGAAGGAGAAGGGATTGCAGTGTAGCCATCCCCAAGGAAGGGGTGATTTCTCACTTTCCCTTTCTCTGTCTCTCTTTGTCTCTCTGTCTGGCAAGCGCATGTGCACTATGGCAAAAACCTCAAAAAAAACAAGGAAAGAGAAATAAAGAATATATATGGAACGGGAGCAGGCAGCCCCAAGTGGGGTCTACGAGAGCCCCTCGCCTGGCCCCTGGAGCGCTCCTTCCCGGCCGCGGCGTCCAGGCATTGTTTCTCTCAGCCCTGAGTTAGACGAGGGTGCCAGAGAGGGGGGTTTGGATGAACACGGTGCTGTCATGCCGTGTGTGGGAGGGACAGGCAGCAGTCCTGAGCCTGGCAGCTGTTCTAGCTCTACACGTCGTAATTTTTCAATTGAGGATGGCTAAGGTAAAGGTGGCCCTGGGACAAGGCAGTTTTCCAGGGAATGGTCTGCCCAAGGTCGATGCCAGACCCCATCTTACAGGTGGGTCTTTATAGGAATAACGAATGCAGTTTATTTCTAAGCGTGAGTACGAGTGATTTGTCCAGAGAAAGACAAGCATGCTGGGGTGCTGAGGTACAGTTTGGAGGACAGGAGAGGTGTCCATCAGCGTAAGGAGTCCTTTACATTGGCCCCGCCCAATCTGGAAGAGGAGGCTTGTGGGCTCTAGGTGAGTCTGAAATTCTTAGGTTAGTCATTGGTCCAAGAAAATCACAAGCCTCTGTCCCTGAAGGAAATCGGCAGAAGAGCATGTGTGCTTCCCTCCGAGGTAAGACTGCCCTGGCAGAGCGAGCAGTGCCTGGGACGGGGGGGCACCCCTCCATACTCCGCTACATTCCTTGGCCTGACTCTCCCAGGTGCCCTGGATACTCTGGACTAGCAAAAAGTAGTCAGAATGTTGTCCTCTGTCTGAAGGGGGCAGGAGGGTCTGAGAGGCAGGAGAAGTTTCCCCCATCCCTGTAAGCTCTGCAGAGGGGACCACACTAGACCGGAAGTCACACAAGGCCTCACTTCTCTGAGACTCTTACTGGGAGACGTTGGCATTTTCGTTCTGTGGAAAATGGAAAGAAGAGTTTGTTCAAGGTGGTCTTTAGCCTCAAATGTGAGAACACCCAGGCTCCCGAGTCACAAAACACTAGGAGATGCTATTCACATGAGCTACCACATGAATGACTGCCTTGGCCGGTGGTGGTGGTGGCGTGTAGTCGTTTAGACTACAGTGTGAATGGCCACCTTGGGGACATGCACTTGAACTATACATGGCTGGATGGCTGGGGCGAGCTCCATCCACACAGACTGCCTGTGAAGGCCCGGCCACCTTCTGGGGCTGTGCTGAGATGCTGGCCCCGGCAGGAGTGCGTCTTACCTGGCTGGTCATCTCTGGTCTCCGGAGGAGTTTTTCCCGAGCACTAGAAGGTTCTGGGTGAGAGAGAGCGAGCCCGCAGCCCGGGCCGCACACTTGTAGGCTGCATAGGTTGGCGCTACTGGGGAGTCATAAAGAGGGGAGGAGCGTCCGTGAGCGATGGCGGTAGGCGTTGAATGAAGGCACATCCCTCCAGGTACAGGTTAGGGCAGCCGGGAGGT